ATATACTGAAAATCGCTGGTACAACCACTTTCTCATATCGGTTCACCAATTTCTCATTGCAAAAGTACACTACATACACCCCTGTTAGAAACTGTCGCATGTTGACTGCTGCAGTATTCCTTACAATGCCATGACGTTTTAATATTTCCTTTCAATAGAGTTTTGGATTGTTATGTAAAGCTGTATTTAACACGTACTTTAATGATGTTCCGGAGGTAAATATCTTCACCATATACGGTAAATGTTAAAAAATGATTCGTTAAAAACCAAAATAGGAAAAACATTTTGTTCACCATTTTGAAAATAACGTCACCATATTAAACCTGTATGTAATTTATTTGAAAGGCTGACTCACGCGCGATTATAATAACCTCCTAGTGTCAGGAAAGGAACAATTTCGGTAGCTTGAGTATTAGGCTTTTCTTACTCGCGGGGTAGGAGGAGGAAACAGCCGGCAAAGAAGAGGCCTTTCTCCAGTCTGCAATTCCCCAGAACCCCTACCCTCTTGCTAAGACAGGCCTGATACTCCGGTTGCAATTTGGGTGGCAATTAATTTTAATACTTACTACAACTTATTGGCTTTTAAGAGAGTAAGCGTGTGTACATTACTTCAAGGTGTGTGCGGCTTTAAATTGCCAGATTACTTCTCTACCGTACATAAGGCCTGTATGTTCTCCATACACGGCTCACTGTTACGGATTATCTTTTTCTTCAATTAAAACAACTTTTATAAAGAATGGTTGAGATTGCCAGATGATTTTTACGATCTACAACTCAATTATATCTCCTTTAGGTAAGGTAAAACAGAATCCCTTAATTTCCTCAGGCTCCCTCCAATTCAAACTGGTGGGTCCTCTGTGAACACATGTATTGTATGAGTTTGATGGCGACTTCTTAGAGACAGAACCAAACAAACATTCAAAAAATGCTATGTCATATTTCACAAGCAACAGTATTCTTTACCTCACGACATGACTGTCACTGTCTTGGCGTGACGTCCAATTGTTCTGCCATTAGGAGTAGGGGTTAGGATCCATAATAACCAAAACAAAAGATCAAATCCCATAGAAACTTATGCTGGCTGGTGAATTAGCTGCAAATAATTTATATCTTAATTCGTTCTTCCATAATAACTTAGTGGGTATATGGTGGAGAAATCGGAGAAATTTTAAAGATGTTAGAAGGGAGACAGGAAACCCCTGGACACGTATCGTCAATCAAACACAAATGTTACACGCAAGACGTGAACACATATTTTTGGTTGAAATTCAAGGCTGCCCGAGGTACACAAAAACGGACGAGACTTGGAAACTGGCCATTTTATAACTTTTTTTCGTTATCGAACTCCTGGTGTAGCTGTTAATTTGTTGGCTAAAACATATTACGTGAGTGATGTGTTTTGTGACAAAGTGTCGTGCCCGTCATGGAATTTGACGTCAGAGAACGTCACGCCTTTGCAGCGTTATCATGGCCACTGGGTGTCCAAGGATAAAATGCTCCGTCAATTCTAAATCACGTATGCAGCAAATAAAAAATAAATATTTTGCTATCCAGAGTGACCATTGTGAAAACATTTTAAAAGAAAAATGTTTCATACATGCATGAGCAATTTTGTATGGTCTGTCGTCTGGAAAAGACATAAGGTTGCGTTTACGAATGCTTTAACACAGTAGATGTGTCTTGTAATTACCAAATGATTTGTAAATATTGCTGAGATTCATCAGTTACCCTCAATTATTAATAACTAATAGAAAATATGTAATGTTGTAAATAAATTATATATTTTGAATGAGTGAATATTTATTAAAAATTATTGGAGTTTTATTAAAAGTGTGCTTAATGTATAGGCAGAACTCGAGGGACAAAGACAACTCTTTTCAAACATCCTCGACGTATGTCAGTATGCAAATTACGCAAGGTGATAGGGCGAGAAATTTATCAGAGATCTCTCCAGTGCCTTGTTTCGGCGGCGTTTCATGTACAAGGTAGGTTTGGTGTTATCAGCAGGTATTCAGTCATGAGCGTGCATTGGGTAAAAGGTGATAAATAACAAGGAAGATGCCCCGAGTTTGCCATAATCCTCTCGTATCCAACAAGTGCGAATGGAATAATGACTGTCAAAATTCCTTTTTTGATTGGATGTTGCGGATATTTTAACTAACTAAATAGTTGTATTCGGCTTTAAAGTCGTTTTAAACAAAGCTGGTGCTTTAAAGTTTAAATTCTTAAATTGATACTTAACAGATCTATATATGTACGTTGTAAAATCTGCGATATTATGATATCCTACATCGTCGCTGGATTGAATCAAGAAATTATTAATCACATCTATATCAAACCGCAAAAACACGTAAAACTAGTTTAAACCGTCTAAAAGCAAAGGCTGAACATTCTTTTTACTCGCCGATTTACACGATTTTCGAAGAAGTAAATAGAAATTAAGTACTGGTGCTACACGATCCTGAAAACGTTTCACAGAGAATGATCTAAGCTATATTTAATAACGCCGATATTATCAATTTGTGTTTACACTGACAACATAAAGTTTGACGTCATCGCCCTACAAGCCTGAAAGCGTAGCATTCCTTCGTGATCGGGAGATAAAGAATAAGAACAATATAATACTGTTTTGATATTGGCCTTACGCTATGATAAGGCCAAAGCTTCTTGCTTTTTCTTGGTTAAGGTCTGTTCCGGGTGACACTTGAACCGAATGTGGCATTTTGGATTTTACAACATTTTCAGTAAAAAAGGAAAGAAAATATAAACTCTGAAATGTATGTGATTGTTAGTACAAGGCTGTAACATTACAAATTAACGGGGTTTAAATTTGTTACAAATTCCATGGCAACTACCTTATTTGCCGACTTCCCCTTCCACTAATAACAGTTTCCTGGTTTCGAAAAGGGTGGGAGGCAAAGCGTGACCTCCCAACATGATTTCAACATGACTTGTCAATATCTTGAATATCGCTTGCACTCTTCTTATTATAAAAGGATCTAAAAGAACAATATGTAATTCTTCGTTAGAAACTGACGCTAATCGGGCAAGCAGCTAAGTGAATTGAATTCTTTGCAGTGTCGTGACGTTTTAATATTTCATTTCAGTAGATTTCAGGATTGTTATGTGAGGTCTTTTAAACACCTACTTTAATCTACAAGTATCTTTACCATGAAGTCATGAAGTAGTACAAACTCACAACACCTCTGCGCTCACGTTTGAAAGTTTGAAGAATCAAAAAAGATGAAACGGCATCCCTTAACGCTTTCCTACTACTCGATCAACCCTCGCCACCCACACAAGACCTAAATAGAGGGAAGTGAATAGGTTTTCGGATCGACAGATTTGGCCTTAAAAAGTCCACGGATTGTGGATTTTTGCGGTAAATCGAGCGGATTCGCGGATTTTTTAATTTAAAACACAGTAGATCGTGGATCAGCTGTGAATTTTGGCGCGGATTCCGGGTTGTGCCTGTCTTGATGTTCAAATCTTGGGGCTTAAACGAAATTTGGATCATAGATCTTTCTTCAGCCTTGGTCGGTATGTTAATGAGTTCATCCAAATTATTTCTTTTTTCAAACGAAGCTCATTTAAACTCAGGTGTGAGACTGTTATTGGAATTGTACCGTGTTATAGTCATCAAGCATGTTGCCTTACTATTTGTGCGAAATTAACAATGGCATTCACATTTACCAGTTTACATTTGAACTTTTACACTTCTGTTTCCGGATGTGGTTGTGGTTTCGGATTTGAACAAAAATATCGGCGGATCGACGGATTTGGCGGAAAAAACGTACGGATTGGCGGATTTGCACACCCCTATTCACTCCCCTCTAAATAAATCACACAGGACATCAAAAACACTGAAATTTATCTGTTAATAATACTCAGAATTTAAACCGGTGAGGTTCTCTCTTGCGCACTAACTGTAAACTTGGTTTGATGGCGACCTCGAGCCAGACAAAACATGCAAAATGCTATGTCATATCTCAGAAGCAAGCGTTCCTTGACACTTCCTTCCACTCGACATGACTGTCACTGTCTGGCGTGACGTCAAACCTGCTCTGACATCTTGTACAGAAAATGTTAATTTCGGAGTACTGCTTAGGGATCAATGATAACAATAAGAAGAAAAATCCTATAGAAGCTGATATTGGCTCGCCCATCAGCAGTAATTAATTTATATTTGGATACTTTCTTTGATAACTTATTGTTGAAATGCTGGGGGAAATCAGAGAAATTAAATATTGGAACGAGGCAGGAAATCACCGGACACGTATCGACAATCAATCGGAAATCAGTACACAAATGTTAAATTTCGTAAAAAGTGAGCATATTATTGTCATTATTTGGTTGAAATTGAAGACTGCGCGAGGTACAAAAAAGTGGCGAAACTTGTAATACTTGTAAAGTGACCATTTTTGCAACTTCTTTTTTTGGTTCGTACTGTTGGGGTAGCTGTAAATATTTGATGTGGTACCGGTTGAAAAAGTAATACGTGAGGGATATCTGTTGTGTAACAAGATTATGTGATGCCACCGTGGGTAGTCATGGAGTTGGACGTTAGAGAACGTCACGCCTTTCCAGCGTTATCTTGGTTTAGTAGACCAGGACGCTGGGTGTCGATTGAATGAATCCATAAAATGCGCGGTGGCCTCATGGTTAGTGCGCTCGTCTCCGGATCGAGCGGTCCGGATTCGAGCCCTGACCGGGGGGCATTGTTTTGTAGTCTTGGGCAAGACACTTTACTCTCACAGTGCCTCTCTCCACCCAGGTGTATAAATGGGTAC